CGAGCAAAGCGGAAACCCTCGAGATCGGGAATCTTCGGGAGCGGAAACCCTCGAGATCGGAAGCTTTGCCGCTTTCCTCGGACTCTTTCCCGCTCTCTGCGGTTTCTTTTCCCGCCAGTTTTGCTTTGTGTTTCTTACTTTTCGGCCCAGCTCATTCTAGAGGGCGTCAAGAATTGCAGAAAATGCAAAAATGGCCATTGGGGACATGTCTAATAATGCCACAGATGAGTGGGAGGGCACAGTAGTGGGGAGAGCATGGGAAGAGGAGACGTTCTGCATTCTGGCAGAGCTGCATAAGGCTGCCAATCTTTAGTAATCTTTCCTCGGTGCTAGCACTTAGCCATTCAGGAGAGACACGAAGATATCGTACAAATCCTCGTAGATCAGAGTGCCGATATAAACTAGAAACCTGAAATGGATGAGAGATCGCTTCGTTTTGCTGCGCGAGTAGGAGAAGAAGAAACTCTCTGGTTGCAAATTAAGGGAGGAGCTGACGTAGATGCCAAAAACAAAGCTGGAGAAACGGCACTGCACCTAGCCATTCAGGAGGGACACGAAGATATCGTGAAAGTTCTCGTAGATCAGGGTGCCGATGTAAACTCAGAAACTAAATGGGGCGAGAGACCACTTTATTGGGCTGCGCGAGTAGGTCTAGAAGAAACTTGCAGGTTGCTACTCGAAAGAGGAGCTGACGTGCATGCCAAAGACAAAAATGGAGTAACGGCGTTGCACCTAGCCATTCTGCAGAGACACCAAGATATCGCGCAAATCCTCGTAGATCATAGTGCCGATATAAACTTGAAAACTGAAATGGGTGAGACACCATTTCATTTTGCTGCATTAGGAGGACTAGAAGGAACTTGCAGGTTGCTACTCGAAAGAGGAGCTGACGTGCATGCTCAAGACAAAAATGGATTAACGGCGCTGCACCTGGCCATTCTGGAGAGACACCAAGATATCGTACAAATCCTCGTAAATCATGGTGCCGATGTCAACAGGAAATCTGAATGTGACGATACACCGCTTCATTTTGCTGCGCGAGTAGGACACGAAGATATTTTCAGGTTGCTAATTGAGAGAGGAGCTGACCTGCATGCCAGAGACAGAAGTGGATTAACGGCGTTGCATCTAGCCATTCAGGCGAGACACAAAAATATCGCACAAATCCTCGTAGATCAAGGTGCCAATGTCAACCGGAAAACTAAATATGGCGAGACACCGCTTCATTTTGCTGCTCGAGTAGGGTTAGTAGAAATTTGCTACTTGTTAATCGAGAAAGGAGCTGACGTGAATGACAATGATGTATATAGATGGACAGCGTTACATCGTGCCGCTGATCGTGGTCAAGTGCGTGTCGTGGAAATTCTCTTGAAATCGGGCGTCGACGTCGATTGTAAAAATGAGTCGGGTAATACTGCACTCCACCTTGCATCCTGTTCCGATCAATCCGAAGCCGTTCTAACTCTCATACAAAATGATTCTGACGTAAACATTGTTAACAATTTCAATGAAACAGCGTTCCACTTGACATATTCTAGATATAGACGTATAGATCGCAATAATTTTTCCACTACCCAAAAGCAGTTAATTAAAATGCAGATTGTTAGCTTGGACATGAATAACGAAAATGTGGAGAATATTAATCTCACTATGGATTTAAACGGGCAATCTCAGTTTGAGAAGAAATGTATTGAAGAGATAAAGAGAATGAAAAGCTTAAAAATTAACAATACTTCTCTAACTTTCTATGATATCTTAACAAAACGCATAGACCAAATAGCATTATACGCGAGAAATAAAGATATTGTTCAGGTTTTGCAACGAGGCAATTATCAGAGAGAATTTCCTACGTACGAAGACGTAATAAATGGTCGTTTCAACAGAGCTATGGCACGAAGGGATTTGTTAGACG